CTCAGGTCATGATCTCGCGGTTTGTGAGTTCGAGCCCCACGTCGGGCTTTGTGCTGACAGCTCAGAGCCTGGAGCCTACTTCAGATTCTGTATCTCTTTCTCTCTCTGCCCCTCCCCCCCCCTTGTGCTCTGTCTCTCTCTGCTTCTCAAAAATAAATAAATGTAAAAAAAAATAAAAAATGGAAATACCTAAGGAAATTGGCTTATCAAATTCACTGTCATTAGGACAATAAGAAATTCAATTATAATTTCAAAATGAAATAATCTAATATTACAATTCTAATTTAGTGTTTTAAATTCCCCTCTCTTTACAGGTTAATCAAAAAACTCAGAGTAGATTGTAAAAGTTTATTGATATGGTCAAAAAGCAAATAGCCAGACATTTGGTTATCTGTGCTACTACAATGTCATTTTGAATAGTATTTTTAAAATGCATAACAAATAATATTTAAAACATTACTAGAAAAGTAAATTAAGAGTCTACTTTAAGGCACTTCAGATGAAAGCAAATTTCAAAGTTTACATAAAATTAACTCTATTCTAAGTTTAGTAAATCTGCTTTCTACAGATTTTAGCTAGAATGTAACTTTTCTCCCTGCACAAGAAAAATGTGCTATAAGGGAGACAAAACAAATTGAAAAAAGTGTCATTCTTTCAATGCTCATGGCACATTATCTGGAGCTATACAGATTACATGGAAGTAGTATTACCCTGGTCAGTCTGCACAAATCAGGGCATCTTTATACAAGTCTCATAAGAATCACAGCATAAATTTATTTGGCCTGAGACAATTACAAGAATAACAGATAAGGAATCAAAAATCACACAATTTACAGGGAAGTAATTACCAAAAAGTGAATTCACTAAAGGGGAAATGGTCAACTGTATGTCCCCACCCACCAAATCTTCAAACAAAAACCCTCATAAAATGTTTCTTCTTAGGCAATTATATCCATCTCTTCTGCAAATCTCTTTATATAAGACTTTTAGACCACATGGGAGTTATTAGATAGTAAATAGTAGGCAAAGTATTATTTTAATGTAACACTTCTAAGATTGCTTTAAAATTTTTTCACAATCGTAATTATCATATTTCCATAATAGTGGAATTTCAGGATATTCTTCATAGCTATAGGAAAGGTTATGGCTAGATCTAATGATAACTTTCATTCTTTCATTCTTCACATAAATTTGGTTAGCATTTATGGTTATTTCCACTGACAGAAAAAAAGACAAAACTCAAAAACTCTTCAAATATTTACTGTTTCTCTACTTGAGGTGTGGGAATGAAGGCTAAAATAATAGCAAAAACAGAACTGTCAAGAAACAATTTACTTTCCATTCACAGGCAACAACTCAATTATGTCAGGATGTGCTTCTTCCAGTCTAAGGGAGTCCTTCTCCTAAATACGAGGGTTAATGAAATATGTTGTAACTGTAATACAGAAATTGACTTAACCAGATGAACCTATTTTTTTCTCTAAGGTACAAATGAAATAGGCAACAATCTTTAATTTGCAGAAACATTTCAGACGATTTTTAAGTAACACTGATTTTAGCACTAAGCTACATTTTTATTAGAGTGGAACCTACCGTAAATAAAAGAAATTAAGGAGACAGAATAAACCTGAAATCTTTCCAAATAAGAATAGTTAACAACACATTCATGCAGAAATCATATTCCTGTATTTAGACTTTTTAATATCTATAGCTACCACGAAGCATAACTAGCACTGTATTTCAGCAGAAAACATGAAGGAGGGGGAGGACTGGCTAGTCTTTTCTACAGGTTAGATATGTACTCTAATATTGTTCTATTTTCAGAAGATTGCATAGCACAGATTTCCCCACCCAAAAGGAAAGATGTGCAAAGTATACACATCCATGCAAAGATGGAAAAGCTAAAACTGGATTCCTGATACATTTATCTGTTAATAGGCATATGTAGGAACACCTGGTCAGTTCTTTTTTTCCCCTAATTTTGGGTAAGATAATATAAAATCAGATAGCCAAAAGCTTACTAAAGCAGTTTTGAACCTTGTTCTAATTAAAATGTAGTAGTTATAAAATTTTTATAATGTACTTAATTTTACTAAATTAAATGTTATATAAAGTTCATCAGGAAGGGAAGGTTAGGAGGAGAATTGTATCCAAAATACTTCATGGTTTTGACAAGAAATTGCTTGTTAAGGCACTACAAATCTTCTTTGGTTAAATGATTAACTATTTAAATCACTTGAAAAAAAAGAGGTAATACAAAATACACAAATTTCATTCTTTACAACACACACCCATTTTTCATTTTCCAATTTCCATTACTCCAGTGTCTACATATCTCTGGGGTCCTTTTTAACTCATCAGAAAGCTGAAATAAAAACATTAAACAATATGTTAGTCTTTGAAAAAAAAAAAGGCTTTACTTTTTTTTTTTTTTTTT